CACACGTTACAATTTACACTTTACACTCCACACTCTACACTCCACACTCCACACTCTACACTCCACACTCTACACTCTACACTTTACACACTCTACACTTTACTCTCCACACTTCACACTCTACACTCCACACTTTACACTCCACTCTACACTCCACACTCCACACTCTACACTCTACATTGCACACTCCACACTCCACACTTTACACTCCACACTTCTTACTTTACACCCCACACTCTACACTCCACACTGTACACTCCACACTCTACACTTTACACCCTACGCTCTACACACCACACTTTACACTCCACACTCCTTACTGTACACTCCACACTCCACACTCCACATTCTACACTTTCCACTCCACACTCTACACTTGACACTCCACACTCTACACTTTACACTCTACACTTCACACCCTACACTTTACACACTACACTTTACACTCTACACTCCACACTTTACACTTTACACTCCACACTCCACACTCTCCACTTTACACTCTACACTTGACACTTTACACTCCACACTTTACACTCCACGCTTTACAACTGACACTTTACACTCCACACTCTACACTCCACACCACACACGACACTCCCCGCTTTTCACTGTACACTCCATACTCTACACTCCACACTTTACACTCCGCACTCCACACTCCGCACTTTACACTCCACACTCTGCACTTTACACTCCACACTTTACACTCCACACTCTACACACGAAACTCCCCACTGCACCCTTTACACTCCACACTCTACACTTTACAGTCCACACTTTACACTCCACACTCCACACTTTGCACGCCACACTCTACACTCCACACTTTACACTCTACACTGTGCACTCCACACTCCACACTCCACACTTTACACTTCACACTCCTCTGTCCACACTAGACATTTCACACTCCACACTCCACACCCTACACTGTACACTCCACACTCCACACTCTACACTTTACACTCCACACTTTACACTCCACACTCTACACACGAAACTCCCCACTTTACCCTTTACACTCCACACTCTACACTTTTCACTCCACATTTTACTCTCCACACTTTGCACTCCACACTCCACACTCGACACTCCACACTTTACACTCTACACTTGGCACCCCACACTCCACACTCCACATTCTACACTCCAGACTCCACACTTTACACTCCACAGTCCACACATAACACTCCACACTCCACACTTTACACTCTACACTTTACACTCCACACTGAACACTTTACACTTTGCACTCCACACTTCACACTCCAGACTCTACACTCCACACTGCACACTTAGCACGCCACCTTCTTCCATATTCCAAAGTCTACGGGGCACTGGTATGGTAACAGGGGATACATGTACAAGACTGTTCAACTCAACTGTTTCACAAAAGGTTTCTACGTGACTGCATATCCATGTGTTTGGACATCTGTATGTAACATACGTGTGAGCATTCGGGTTTGGGGCTGCATCTTGTTTAAAGTTACTTATATATTTGAAAACGTTTTGATTGAAAACATGTCAGAATGTGTCAGAATCATATCGCGTTCATAGCAAAATCGTATCAAAACCATATCAAAGCCCAATCAAAAGCATATCAGAACCATATCAAAACTATGACAACCGTCTGGGGATTTCCTTGATGGTCCGACGAGGATGTGATCAGTTGCCCGGCCCCGCATGACTCCCCGCCGCATCCCTCGGCAAAGTTGCAAGATCTTTGACGAGAGCAAGGTGGGTTCATCGAAGGGTTGGTGAGGCTGGACTACAAGACGCGGTCTGTGCACACAGGTGCCATCGACTCAATATGGACTCAAATGAGGGAGTCCATCCCTAGCAGTTTGAGTTCCAAATCTCCACAGATATCTACTCGTATTCGATCGTTTCAATGGAGATTTACCCACGCAGAGGATTCAAATTTGCTGAAGGCGTGCGGACACGAACTGTCTGAAGCATGACAAAATGGAGAAAAGAGAAAATATGCAACAGCGCACGTTTGATTTGGCAAAACGTGTGGGAAACGCGAACGTCTCTAAAAACACATCATTTTTTCAAGGGCTGAAGATGAAATTGGCATTGTGCTGAGGGAAAAACACAGAAATCCGGAAACATACGGGAATTACGCACATTTTGGGTGATTCATACATCAGAAAACATTGTAAATACCATGGTTTGCACACAGAATAAAATTGCAAAACCCACCCACCGCCACGTTCCACTTCCGACCCGGCGGGCTGGGCTGTTTTTGTTTGTTTGCTTTTTTTTTGTGGTTTGCGCTGTTTGAAAATATTGTAGTTTGCTTTTGCACTTAAAATGAGTTTTTGGAGTGAGAGCAGATGAGCAGACAGAGGCTTCCAGGCATGACGTGTAGAACAGCGCGCATGCCTGCTATTGGCACACCTTCACCCCCTCATCCCCTTCTGTGTTTTTGCCATGCGTTCTTCCTTTTCTTCCCCTCTCATTGTTTCTCCCTTTCCTTTTCCTCTCTTTTTTC